TTCATTTGACAATAAATTTTACACGGTAATTCATTTTACAATGAAATGAATTCATTCATTTGATACCTAACGGTCTGTAAGTTTCTGCATTGTTCAAAAATCAATTTCATTATATCATAATAAACAAAAATTCACAAAGTCTTTTCGATTGCGAAACGTTTTTATATTTAGCTCAAAGCTATACAATTTTTTTAACACTTGCGATTTTAACCGATAAAACCTATACGAATTTCAAAAGAAAATATTATGATAATAAATCTACTTTTGTCTTCACCATAAATTATGATAATTCAATACTTCTTTTAAATCTTGAAATCTCTCATCTTTTTTAGCAAAACGATAATAATTTGTGAAGACATGAGTGGTGGGAGTTATCACATAACTAAATAGGAGGGAGTAAACAGGACTTGAGAACTATGCGTTTTATTTATATTCTTTTTGTGTGTTCGGAGGAGTAGGGCTGAATAGTGAATAAAATTTTGTTTCAATTTTGAAAAATGTAAATGGAGTTTATTTAATGTAGTAACATATTTAATGTCTTAAAGTTAAAAAAAAATGAGCTTGAGGTGTAATGGATACCAGTCTTTTTATGTTCAATGTAAGGTCAATGGTTTTTGAATAAAGAAACATTCACTTTTTTCTCGCAAAAACAGAACGAAACACTTAAACATAAGAAAATAAATGAACCCCGTCTTTTTTTATAATATTCGCGATCGTGAATACCCATTCGAATCTGCGATAATTGAGTAGGGTAAAATGCAAACCCGAAAAATTTTAAGCGGGTCTGGATAAAACCCAAATTTGAATATTGTGAATAATGGGTGGATATGGTTTTTATACAACCCAAATTGAATATGTTCGATTATACATATGCATATGTATTTTATCTAGAAATGAACATTATATCTCAAGATATTTCATATTTATTATAGGTCTATAATATTTTCATCAAATTGTGTTATTTTTAACTAATTTTCTTCATTATAGTGATTTATTGTCATACTTTTTCATGAAGTAATGTCAGTATACGTGTGAACGTGAACATATTGATTAGAGTTATAAAAGAAAATTATTACCCATGGATAATCATTGGTACTCAAAACCCGATTGTATATGATTTTAATATTCTTCCCAATTTTTGTATGAGTATGAGTATATATAAATAAAAAATCCAACTATCATGGATAGGGTAATGAGTTTTTATTATCCACCTCCTACCCGATCTATGAGCATCCCTACATTCGTCTTATAAAAAAAGCAAGGATAAAAACCGAACCGTATTGGTTGTTCGACCAGGAAAACCTCCTACTGTAGACTAAACCGATAGGCGATTTTTAACGATATGGAACGGTTAAACCATGATTTTAACATAAAATACTCTATTACTAAATTTTTCGATACAACCTTTGTTACCATGCTTCAATTCTTAAAAAAATGAAGCACCTGGAAAATAAAATGTAGCGTGGAGAAAGGGAATTAGTGGCTAAGGAAATGACAAAAATAGGCTTTCGAAAAATACTCTGCTGGCTGCAAAATTCAAATAGAGAAAATTTGTCAAAATTCTCTTATTATATATTGGGAGAAGTATTACCGGTCAAAATATGAGTCGATATAACTCTAAACAGGTAAAATAAAATAGATATTAAAACATATTCAGATAGAACGTATAAAAATGAGGCGGGATGGAGAAAGACAAGACGAAAGTAGTATTCATATCCTGCCTCACGCTATTGCAGATCGAGTATTCCCCGCCCCTACGCTAATCAGGTAGGGTAGTGTTTAGGGTATAACATTTTATATATTTAGTGTAATACGATGGAAGAGGTATCAAATTATAATATGAACTAAATTGTGAATAAAATTCATTCACTTGTAATAGAAATATTATTTAAGAATTTCTAAATAGGATTACAGTCAATGAAGTCATAGATATGGTTTCCTAACTTACAATTTAATTATTTGGAATATTCATGAAAGGAAATATAATTAATCAAAAAACTATTTGGAAACAAAAGAACCTTGTCATCTTGACTTATAAATAGACAAAGATTTAACATGAAATCATATCCTTGTATCCCAACAATTATAAATCCATAGCAAAATCTCATTGTTTTAAGAGCAGTAAGAACGAAAAATAAGATATCAAATGGAGAAAACATCGGTCAAACTCATCTCTTTATTGTTTGTTCTCTTTCTTATTGCTCATGGTAATTAGCTTATATAATCTCTTCTCTTTTTCTCTATTTTCAATGACTTATCTACTTCGTTTCAACAGGTTTATGTGATAACACGACATAAGTATTTCAAGCTGATATTAAGGGGTTCATCTATTGACATAAAATTTATGTAAAACTTATTTTGCAGTTGGACGAGTGGCGGCAGGAGGATTTAGAGATAATTCATTAACCAAATGCAAAGCACATGGCGACTGCAAGGGCCAGTGTCACCAGAAATGCTTTCCTGAATCTTTATGTGCGTGTGTCGCCAATCAATGCCAGTGTGTACTTACCGAACCGTCATCACGACTAACAAAAAAAATTGAGGATTAGTTGAATGAACAAAGATATTTCGTGTAAACCGAAATCAAACCAATAAGAATTTTAATGATGTTATTTTTATTTGAATGGTTAAATCAAATAGAAATAGAATGTTGTGATCCCTATTTGTCATTAGTAATAAGTATAGGGACCATTTAGTATTTTACCTTCTCCAAGTGACTTACGTAGAGGATATAGGTTGTTTTTAATTTGTATAAATCGGCTAGATGTATGGCCGCCGAACCCTAAGACAGAAATACAGCAATAAGAAACCTCTGAGAGCTTCAAGCTCTCTATGGACTAGTTCCGTTCACATCGATATAGTTAGTAAATAATCCATTTAATACACGCATATTTACCCCGTACGTATTTTATTCATTTAAAACTTCTGTTTTCGTATTATTATCAAGCCGTTTCATATTTTTCGTTCATTTGATGGCTCCCGTACTAAACACGTATAAAACTCGTATAACACATTTAATATCCATATTTAATGATTAAATTGTTAACCTTGCTATTATTTATATTATTTATTTATTTTTAAAATAATTAATTTTATATATTTATGACTATTAACTTACTATTAAACGTAAGGTTAGCTTAGAAACGAAGTAAAATACCCGTACGTATTTTATATGTAACCTTCTCCTACCGTATTTTACTAACTATGACATCGAATGGGGAAACCACGTAAATCCGGTCTCGTGTTACTTCCGCTTTTCGTTTATATCGAATTTTACATAGTATCAGAGTTGTGATTTAATCCAACGGGTTTTTCATTATGGGTTCGGACGATGAGGAGCCCAGCAAGAAGTCGAAGATGACTATGGTAGCTGATGCCGAAGCGTTCGCTCTTCTACCTTCGCACTTGCAGCTTTATCGCTCGGTTAATCCCAACAATCTGTTCGTGGGAGAATTGTTAACCGATGTTAACTATGGTGAGTGGGTGATGGAGATGACCGATTCACTCATCGCGAAGAATAAAATTTGTTTTGTTGACGGGAGCTTGCCATTGTCGTCGTCCCCAGCTGAGAGGGAGGCCTTATGTCGCTGCAATGCGATGGTTAAAGGTTAGTTAAAGACGTCAATGGCAAAGGAGGTACGTAACAGTCTTCGGTTCGCCTATAATGCCAGTGAAATTTGGGTTGATTTGGAGTCCAGGTTTGGACTAGGTTCCGCGCCTAGACTTTACAAGCTGAAGGGCACCATCATTAGTCTCCAGCAAGAGAAGACCTCGGTCTCCTAGTTATGCATGAAGCTGAGAGGCTTGTGGGATGAAATTGAATCCGTCACGCCGTCGCTGGAGTGCACTTGCACAGGGTGTACGTAAGATATGAAGAAGCGCCAGCGTGAAGTCCGAGAGGAGGAGCGCCTATTTGATTTTCTAATGGATCTTGACGGTGTCTTCTCAACCGTCAAGTCTCAAATATTGGCCATAAAGCCAATACCGTCAACCTGCCGATTTGATTACGAAGGGATTGAGTGTTGATCAGTTTCATAATCTCTTCGTCAAGGTTGGACTTCACGATATTCACTCTTTCGCATGAGGGGGAGTGTTGTGATCCATATTTATCATTAGTAATAAGTATAGGGATCATTTAGTATTTGACATTCTCCAAGTTACTTACGTAGAGGATGTATGGCCGCCGAACCCTAAGACAGAAATACAGCAATAAGAAAACTCTGAGAGCTTCAAGCTCTCTGTGAAATAGTCCCATTCAAATCAAACGGGAAAACCACGTAAATCCGTGTTACTTCCGCTTTTCGTTTATATCGAAATTTACGTAGAAGGACAGAAATTGTTCAGAACGAACCATAGCCAAACCAAAATGTTAGAAAAAAATTCGCGGCCACTATCCCAATTGATATTCATCGGAGGCTTATTAGTAGAGATTCAGTGTACTTTGTAGTACTACATATTTCTTTTTTCCTGGAATTGAATTCATTAACTTTATAGCTCTTAAACTCTCCCATTAACTTGTACACCATTGTGATTTACTTATCATATTCGTCTAAGGGAAATTTAATTGGATCTCCATCCTCAGCGCGGTTTGATTTGAGTTTACATGTTTAATCGTCGATTCAACCCATATATTTATTACGGAGATTTGGGTAGTTAATCAGTCTCCTGCTTCTCTTGGAATGTGATACGTGTTGAATTTGGATAACTCCCTTTTCTTAGCGAGGGTGGAACAGATTTCTCTTTTCTTGGCGAGAATGGCCAGGGGTTTCTTGATTCTGAAATTGGCTGCCTTCTATTCAATTGATTTCTACCTTAAATACATGAATTGCAAAGAAGCTATCTAAGTGGAACGAACTCCACATTCTTCTCTAATGCTATTGTACTTTCTCCACTAAACATGGAGATAATTATTCCTAACTCACTACTAACTATAACAACTTGCACCACTAACTCTAACAAACTTGCTATGTGGCTCAAGGCCTTGCTCTTGATGGGTTGGGCTAATTATTCCTCCTAATCGTAGTAGCGAGTGTTGGGCTACGAATGTCGAGCTGACTGACGAATTGTACACTCATCATTACCAACCCCTGAAAAACGTCCTTGTCCTCAAGGCCGAGCTTAATGAAGCGATGATTGAAAACGGAGGCCATCTTGCAGGTAGGATCATTGATGAAATGCCGCCTTCCAAGACCCAATTCCATTCTTAGCCCATATTTGTTAGCTGGTTTGGTCCATAAGTCAACCCATATAGCTGAACTCACCTCACCCCCTTCAGCTTGTTCATCCCTTTTCAACTTGTTCATTTGCTCCTCAAACGACGCCGCTTGCATGTTCGCAATCGTCGCCCACACTCTGCGCTTCCTAAAACTCTTACAGCTCCTTCCCGAGACCCTCCTCGAGATCACCTTGTCGTAGGTTGTGATCATTAAGGTCGGCGTGTCGAGATTGACGGCAGAGGGGACCATCGATAGCTTCGTCGGCAGTGGCAATGGTGATTCAATCACAATCGATTCACTATTGTCAATGTCGGTGGCGGCGGTAGCTTCGGCATCGCGCTTGAGCTTGTAAATATTGTCCCCAAAGTCTTTGTCAAGGTAGCGACAATCCAGAGTGCAGGTCATTGCTTCTTTCTTCGCCTGGGCGTGCAACTTCCCTTTTGGAATTGGATTCTCATTCCACTTCTTCCTTCTCTTCCACTAGTAGAGAAAATCACCATCAACACCATACAATCCTACAAAAACCTCACCTTTCTTTCTAAACTTCCAAGACTTCAATTGACACAATATTCTCCTACCTCTAATGTTAATATCACATTTGTTGGCTATTCCGATACCCCTTAATAGGACATACCCATGCATTTGGGGCTGATCCGTAACTAACAAAGTTTGCAGCTTTCCCATATGATGGTGCTTAACGGTGAGGCGTAGGAAAGCAGGAGCGGCCTTGACAGTTGATTCGAGCGGTGACTTTGCTTCAACAACGAGCGATGGTGATTCTGTTGTGCGCACATGTGGAGAGATCAGCGACGCCGTGGGCAGCGATGGAACTAAGGTGGAAGTGATGGGAAATGGTTCCACCTTCACGCAACAAAGGTCTCAAACTTGTGATGGCGATGGTGGTGTAGCATCAACGTCGTCGTCGTTTTCTTCCTCTTCCTTTATCGACTTTGCTAGAGCTTCGGTTTGCGACGGTGGCGGTGCGGTTGCTACAAGTGGGACGGCAATCTCCGCCTCTTCCATGGCAGCCAGGATCTCGACTTGCAGCGGCGGTGGTGTTCTGACTCTATCGTAAGCCGTGATGGCTCTACGGTAAGCTGTCATCGCAATATACATAATTATTTATACTTCCAGGCAACCAATCAAACCAAACTTTCATGATTCACTATTTTATTTCCATGTGCACAACAAACCAAAACATTACGGGTAAAAAATTAAATGGGTCTGCCTATTTACTAAACCAAAACATTTTGGAGAACTACTAGACTTTAGGATTACGTACAATACCACTATGTATAGTTTTAAGTGTTTTGTAGGAGAGCTTTAACTTTCTGATGAGTGGTAATGGTATGTATTTATGTTAATAGATTTGTTGTAAACTAACTATATTAGATGCAGAGATGATGAATGATGTATCAACTCGCATGATGATGATAATCATGGATGGTTAGTCTTATTATAATTGCTTATATATAATGATAGTTTATGATAGTAACAACATATGGTTATGTTTTATTCATTAACAGGATAATTGTTTTCATATAATGTTATGTTATTTGGTTAATCCGATTATCCGATTAACCAAACCAATTAAACTTTGGTTTGGTTAATTTGGTTTTCGTGTTAATTTGGACGGTTTGGTTAAGACATTTTATTCCATGGTTAATAAAGTTTATGCTTAATTGGTTTGGTTATTACCATGGTAACCATTTTAACACCCCTAAATTACAACCTTAGGCAGAGGTGGCAATTCTCAATCCAATCCACCAATCCAATCCACCAACCCATTAAAAATATCCATCTAATCCAATCCATTTTATCCAAATCCAATTGGATTGGTGGATTTATGGATTGATCCATGGATCCAAATGGAAAATTACGGTTTGGTATAACCTATACTTTTTATATTTTACATTTTGGTACCCAAAATTTAATTTTTTATACGAAAAATATCATTGGAAAATTACGTTTCGGTACCTAAAATTTTTCATTAAGACAATTTAGTACCTAAACTTTTCACATTTTACATATTGGTCCTTGGGTGAGGATGTCATTTGGATTTATGGATAATCCACCAATCCACTTGATCCAATCCATTTGATCTATGGATCCACCAATCCATTTGCCACCTCTTCATGATGCAAGACACTTCTACTAATACCCTCATGAACATAATACAAGATCCAGCAAAAAACCATCGTGTTAGAAGCATTACACAACAAGAAATCTTGGTGTGTATGATCTGGCATGGGAAGGGAACCATCAATGAAACCTAATTTGTGCTTAGTCTTGAGAGCCATTCTTATAGCTCGTTGCCAGGTTTGATAATTACATCCATCGAAGATTTTAGTAACGATGGACTGACCCAGGTTTTCACCTGGGTTTATGTAGTAAGGATTACTAAATTGCAGACCCATTTGAGGATTGTTACCGAGTTGCTGTTGTCAATCATTGTTATGGACTTGTCTACCGTTGTTGCTTGAATTGGAGTTGGAAGTGCCAAAAGGAATGGCTCCAAATCCTGGCGTGTTTGGCAGAGTCGTCATTCTTGAAGTGGAAAAGCGGATTAGAACTGCTCTGATACCATAAGAACAAAGGGCAAAGATGTTAGGTTAAGCAAATGTAGACAATGAAAGATTTGGGAATGTTCCGTTAGGTGATCAGCAGCTAGCTCAACCTTTTCCATTTATACTCTGCAAACTCGTAGTTTCAACTACAATAAAAACATAAATAAATGGTAAATTTAAATGGACAGTAAAAGAACCGACACGTGGCTTTCTCTCATTCCTCACTCATTAACGACTACGTCACTCGCTCTATCATATTAACGATGTAGTTTTAATGCTCCCTTCTCTATTTTTCTTTTGTTTGTATCAGCTGCAAGGGCATGTGTCTCTTTTGATATTGTCTTCATCTTTTTCATCTGTTAAGAATCCCCATGCGTAAGTCAAAGAAGTTGCGAGGTATTGTAAAGATGACTCGTATGAAGATAGTGAAAATGATTGGGAAACCCTCACATCCCTTCTCTTAGGAAAGGATTACTTTTTGTCTATATCAAGCGGATCTTATGAAGCGATAAATTGTCATCCATAAATTGGGCTTCGTTTAAAGGATCAAACCACTAACGCTTGAAGTGAGCAACCATCACGTCTCACCTCCGTGGTTAGAAAGATCAGGGTTCGACTATGAGATTTTATTTTTTTCATTCACTAAAATGATTTATGTGGGTCTTGAATATAGGTTTGGTCTTATCCCAAAAAGTAAGGCTAAATTACACGTTTGGTCACTCAAATTAGATACATTTTTTTACGTTAGCCACCCGAATTACTTTTCTTTCTAATTCGCCACTAACTTTACAAATCATTTCATGTTTGGTCACCCTCGTCTATCTCCGTTAAGTCCGTCAGTTTTTTAATGACGTGGCAAAAGCAACTACTAATTGGACCGTTAAACGAGTGATGTGGCAATTTAAACAAGAAAAATAAAATAAAAACTAATTCACACCTCATTTTGAGAGAGGATAGAAAGAGAAAATATCCTCTACTTTCCCTGGTTTTCTTATCCTCACAAAGAGTAAAGCTAAAGCATCAGAATTTCTGATGATGCAGCGGTGGACCGGAGGCGACAGGCGAGGATGGAGTAGGAGCCTACGGGGCTGGACGGCGATGGCGACCTATCGGAGATTGGACGATGGTGATTGCGATGAAGGTAGAGACAGGGAAGGCGAAGATGCAACAACGAGAGACAGAGGCAGATACATAATGGTACTGTAAATCTGAAGAAGTATGTTGTTGGGCAAGTTCCTCTCCTTCCGCTTGTTCTTCTCTTCGCTTGCGTGTGGGCATTGTGCCAAAACCTAGAGAAAGAATGAAGTTATTCCCTACCCTTTTTTCTTTGCCACTGTAGACGGAGGTTCGCTGAAGTCACAAATTGAGAGGACAGATATAGGAGATAGAAGAAGGTTTTCTTGATTCGTGACGGCAAGAAGGGAAGATAGAAGGGCTTTCGATTTGATCGCTGGGAATAAGATAGGAGCAAGAAAAATCTGGAGATGTGAAAAATATTTGGGGATTTCTGGATTTTTTGAATGCTTCTCTTCTCGTCTCGGCAGAGGGAGGAATTGTTAGTTGGACGTTGTTGTCTTTGTATTTTGCTTGTTCTTCTCCAAGTTCCAAATTCCAATAGCTAGAGGCGGAGAGGTCGATGGTGCTTCGGAGGCTGCCGGGGAACCTTGGGGCGGACGGAGGGAATGGTAGGAGGCGGCATTGGTTTCGGAAAACCAATTTTAGGGTTTTTTGGATTATATTTTATGTTTTAGTGATAATAATGAGGTGGAAAGATTAAAATATTATTTTATTAAATTTTTAAATTGACATGTCACTCGTTTAATAGTACAGTCAACAATTTTGTTTGCCAAATCATAAAAAAACTGACGGAGTTAATAGAGACAGACGGTCGGTGACCAAATGTGAAACGATTCGTAAAGTTAGTGGCGAATAAGAAAGAAAAATAATTCGGTGGCAAACGTGAAATATTTATGGAATTTGAGTTGCCAAACATATAATTTAGCCCAAAAAATAAATATATCTCATTTGGACGAGTTATTTCAATGGATTATTTTGAACCAACTAACTCATATGACTTATGTGGAAAACAAAGTGATAATTCGATTGAGTTAATCTAAATAATAGAAAGGGATGGTTATTTGAAATAACTTATCCCCTATCCAAACCTAACATATTATCTTACTCTTTTTAATGAAATACTGACTCACGTGAATGTCATAGCCAAACAAGAAAATTCCCACATGATAAACACCCAAACAACGAGAAATTTTACAATACTATATAGTATTGGTGCTATAATTTTTTGCTTTTATGGTATAACTTAAAATTGTACATTTACGTTATGGTACAATTTCAAATTGTACCTATACTTTTTGTACAAATTCTTTTATGGTACAACTTGAACTTGTACCTTTATGTGATGGTACAACTTCAAGTTGTAAAATTGTATCATAACATAATGATACAAATTGCTTTATGGTACAACCTAAACTTATACATTTAATGTTATGGTACAACTTTAAGTTGTACATTAAAGCACCAATACTATATAGCATAGTAGAAGTGCTCCCCAAACAACTCATAAAGATTACATCTAAAAATAACACATTATTTTATCCAAAAATATCATTTGTGCAAAATAACTCATCCAAACAATCCATATATAAAAAATATTCAATAGACTTGAATAAGATCGTATCGCCATTATAAAATAAGTATTAGATAGTGATATGGTTTAAATTGTTAATGAAATTTCTTTGTAGTTCAAATATCATTTAAAGATATTAAATCCTAATTAAGTGTTTCCCTCCAGCAAACTTTCTTATCTTAAAATTTAAA